CCATTCTAAGCCTTTGACTTTGCTTGCTAAAATTTAAAATTACATAAAAAAATATCTGTCTTTCCTTCTGTGTATTTAACACCAGTGACTTACACTTTACTCGGATACGTCCCGTATATGTACGTATCTTTTTGTCGCACAATTTATGACTTTATTTCAAACCGATACCCTAGAAGGACCGTTTTTTTTTTCAACTTGAATTAAAAACTATTAAGATTTCTGACAATAAACACATTTTGAAAAAAAAATACAATCGGATAGTACTTTGAAATTTTATCCCTTACATCCAAACTTTCAAGCTTATGTACATTACTTGTATATAATATTAGTGTAGATATACTAAGGTACAATTAGGTATTTTTTAATAAAATCTAATACTAAAAATGTTTTTCGATCGACAATTTTCGATCAACAATTTATTGGCGACAAAATCAATTCGGAAATAGTTAGGTTTCTTCTTTAAAAAGTTAGAAAATAAGTTAAATTTTTGTCGCCGCTAGCCAATAGAACGGAAGCAGATCTATTGACATACATTCCACGTAACATGGAAGCCGTTTTATGAGTTTTCGCATATAATCTGAAATTAAACATGTCATATCACAGAAGATCTCATATTAAGAAAAAAATCATGCTATATATACATACATATTATAATAAAATTCTAACGAGTCGAATCTGTACATAATTTTTTTTTGGAAAATCTTATTGAAATAGTTATTATTATCGATACAGAGGCTTAATCTATCGTTTTTAGATTTTTGGTCTATCTGTCTGTCTGGGAACGCATCACGAGAAAACCGCTACATAGATTTTTAATGAAATTTGGTATGATTTTAATTAGAAAAATGAAACATTTAAACAGAAATAAAAAAAGAATAATGTTAGTATCAAAAATCACAATAAAAATTTATTAAATATCCAAAATTAATAATGTTTATAGTAAAATGCTAAAATTTGTTTTTATTTAATCAAATTTATAAAATGTACGCACTAATATTATGTGAGAAAATGACTGCTATTAAGCCGTTTTTATTACTTAGGGTAAGTCAACACCAGGGCGGCACGTAATGTTCGACGAACGGCAGTTAATAGGTGTTAAACTATCAATAATTCTTACTAACAATGTACATAATATTATAGTATAGTAAAAGTACCTTTTTTATTTTGGTATACGATTTTCAAAGATTTACAACAGATAATTTATTAGATTTCTTTTAAAACACAACGTCATCCAGTATAGGACAAGCGCCTGTATGCATTAAAAAAACATAAAAGCATTCCTTGAAGGAATCATGAGCAATATTTTACTAACGCATCTCAAGCCACGGCGGTATAACACAACCAACTTTGTACGTACGGGTTAGTACTGAGAACTTCTTTAGAGATAAAGTCATAACTAAATTTTACTTGACCCTGGACTCGAACCCAGGACCTATCGGTCTGCAGCCCTACATACTAGCCACTATACCACCAAGGTAGTTAGTCGTTATACAAAATTATCAGTAATTAAGAATGTTATAATAATGCGGACAGTTGTTAGACGTTTTAATAGGAGAGAGTATACATCAACGTACAGTGTACACGCCTCTCGTGTATCTCACAGCTGACTGATTTGGTTGGGGTTCCCTTGCTCATGGGAACGCAGGGAGGCTCGGAGGGGGTGGAAACGGAACTAAACTATTACTATTATTACGTGTTAATATTTCTTTTTTTATTAAGGTTCCGTAGTTTAACTTTTATAGTATGACTTGAAAAATTCTAAAAAATATAAACCGTAAAATTTCTAAAATATTGTATTCGGCCCTTTTTAACGTCCCACTGCTGCACAACGGTCTCTTTTCGATGTGATTGGCGTCCACCACCTACCACGCTGGCTAAGTGTGGGTTGGTGGACTGCACATCCCTTTCGAAAACTCGCTCAGACATACATACTGGCACGTGGTAATCATGTAAGAAATGATTCGGCATGAAAATATCAGAGGTGCGAGACCCTGGATTTGAACCCGCTTCAATCGGTTTCCCAAACGAGCGCGTTACCACTGGGCTTGCATATAATATTTTATACATTTTAATCTAAATAATAGCATCTTTCTCACCTTTAATTAGTATTTTATGTGAAAATTTGTATGTTGAGTGTTGATGTAAAAACTTGACCTCGTTGTTACAATTGGAATACTTTTATAAATGCAAGATTTTGTATGTGTATGCATGTGTAATGTAATATACACGCTAAAATGGATGACGGATTTGGATGTGACTCAGCTAACGGATAGCCTCGAATAAAACGCGTAAAATATAATAGGGCATTTAGGGACATAGTCCCGTATAAATATAAAACAAAATATTCGATTCCTAAAACTAAAATAATTAATTAAAAAAATACCCCTTTTACTTGAAAAAATAATATTTAAACAGTTTATCTATAATAATAAATGTCCATGTAATAGTTTCATTTCAAACTGTCACGACGTTCATGACAAGTAGTCGTAATATTAATATTCTAAAGGTTTATGAGTCGTAAAACAAGTCAATAAACAATGAATGAAATTTGATCCTCCAAATATCAGAACTAATTTTATTTGTACATGTAACCTTAGGGTGCGGTGCACTTGGCTTGCGAAGAGCGTACAGGAAAGGGGTATTTGAACTTCTGCGCTTTTGGTCGATTAGTTTTCATTCATGGGGAGAGAATAAACATTAAACATAATTAATAATTACATATTTAATCATTGCTGATAAAATTAATGAGAGAGTATGTGTGTTTATTAGTTTGATATTGTGCCTTTCATATATCTACACAGCCATACTCGTAGCTTAAAGTGACGATTTGTGGATATATTTTTAGAAATCAAAAGATGGATGAGAATAAAAGGTTTCAAATTCAGTTAAATGAAATATAAAATGAATTCAAATATCGATAGCTAGAAAAACTCTCCGACAACCGTGTAAAAACTAACTATCAATAGAGCCGTCTTGTCAGGCACTCATACTATTTACAATAGTGGCATTTTTCGTTTAAGAATTCTAACAAAATAATATAAGCCAAATAATGAGATACAATACATATACAAAAGCAAATCCAAAAGGAAGGACATTTTTAGCAGTCTATATTACATGTAGTCCAATCGGACTCCGGTTCGGGAACAAAATATTGAAAATCTGAAGTTTTATGATTTTAAAATGTTAGCAGGTATATAAGGAATAGAAATTCTTAAAATGCCCCACATGCCTAACTAGCTGCCCTTGAGAAATGGAGGGACACAAAGCGTTGAAAAATAGTTTTTTTTTTCAATTTCCGGTTTACTGTGACGTTCTATCGAAAAATATTTTCTACAAAAGTTATAGGTCTAGTAAAAATCTACAGCTTTTATAATTAACACTTTTAACAATAACCTCAAAGTTTTCGAGATCCGGGGAGAATAATCCGGATCCGTACACTGAACAAACGTTTTATTATGAATGGCTTAGTCTATATTAGTTCACATTAAGTATTTATTACTATAACTATTATATCACTCGTCTTTTGTTGCTGTATCAATATTAAACTGAAGAGTTTAAACATAAACAAAATAACTATTGTTTTTTTTTAATTTTTGTGTTACCGATATCAAAACCAAGAGACAACAAAACAAATAATCATTATATTTTCTTTGTTTACTTCAATAATGAAATAATTTTGAATTTTGTAATTCTCTTTAAAACAGACAGAGGTTTTAGATTCTTTCTCCCCAATACATACTATTTTAATAGCCGGACCGGTTACTACCTATATCAAATATTAAAAATTATGTGAAAAAATAACTTGCTTTCGTAAAATATTCCAAACGATTAAGCACTTGACCCTCCACTTGCGTATAATAGCCTGTTATATCCTGATAAAGGTTAGAAATGTACCATTAGATTTATAATCCGACGTTTTCCCTATAAATTATACAGATTACTAGAAAATGCACTTATCGACATTATATTAGAAAAGAAAAAAAATCATGAGTTCTAGAAGTTAAAATAAGTTATGGTGAAAGTTATATTTAAAAGCTATATAGGTAGTAAATCCTGTACTGTAAACGTACATACAACGGGAATAGAGATTATATCTATACATATAATAAAATTATAACTGAGTCGAATCTGTACATTAAATATATTTTGGAAAATTTTATTGAAATAGACATTATTATCGATACAAAGGCCGAAGCTATAGTTTTTGGAATTTTTGTCTGTCTGTCTGTGATCGCATCACGGAAAAACCACTGGATGGATTTTGATGAAATTTGGTATGATGATATGCTTTGGTATGGTTATCCGGATCAACATATAGGATACTTTTTAATGCGGGAAATTATCTCATCTCTGAGAAATCTATACAAAACCTTAAAACGTAAGTAGGGATAAGCCCGCGCGGAGCGAGGGTGAGTCGCTAGTATGTAATATGTATATTTACATGGTATTTTTTTTATTTTCACTTAGATTTTCCTATGGTAGTGTTTTTCCGCTGCTTTTTCATAAACAACTAGCGACTCGCCCTCGCTTCGCTCGGGTTCATCCCTAGCTTGATTCTCCATACAAATTTTCATCCCAATTTTCAACCCCTTAAGGGATGATTTCCAGGATAAAAAGTATTCTATATCCTTTCCAGTGTCTCAAACTATCATATTACCAAATTTCATCTAAATCGGTTCAGTAGATCCAGAGATTACCCTGTAGTGGGATTAAGTATAGCATAGTATAAATATTAAGGACAATATTGTGACGGAAGAGTAGAATAAAGAACCTTATCGGGAGCGGTTGTGTTTCATTACATCATCCCCGCTCCCCGCATCATTGCATGGCGACCCTGCCTTGCCGTGGCGTGGGCGAGTGTCGGGTGACCGGCGAATCTCGCAACGCAGCGGATTCCTGTGTGCCTCGGTGCCAGTTTTAGTACAATTTAATTTTTATAACGTGAAGTGAATTAAATAAATCTTATATATTAAAGAAAAATAACTAACGTTTAACTAACAATGGGGAAATATTATTCTAAAAATGAAGATAAGGAGATATTGATTAACCAAAATGCAGTCGGTAGTAACGGTGCTGTACTCGCAGAAACAAATCTACAAACACATATGCTGACCAACAACATCCTAATTGCAGTGGTCTTGGTACTGTTCGTTGTTTTTTCAATATATTTTGGGTGTAAAGCATGGCGTAAGAAGGAGAGAAAATGGATAGAAAAGAGGATGCAAACAGAATTTGTTAGAAGGATCCGTCAAAGGCTTTCCGGGAAGTTCAATGCTGCAAATGCTGCTGGGAGTGATGCTGTTTAATAAGGCAAAGCTGCTAGTGCTGGCTGGTTTTCGGCCGCGCACCTACTTTAGTGAAAGTGAAATGTGAAAAATAAGTGTAAAAAAGTGCATCAACCCCCCCAAAACCCCCACATCATTATTTTTTTTTATTACTATCTCTTGTCCCTCTTCGTGCGTAAATATGAAAATTTATGAACTATAACATAATATGAACTTTATGAACTGTAGTATATAGTGTAACTTTATAATATATGAATTTTAACAACTATAATATTTAGTGTATGTATAGAGTTATGTATGGAAAAAGATTTAGAATTTATATTAAATAAGTTAATTGAAATTCAAATAGATTTAAGAAAGTTGGGCCCTACTAGAAGATTAAAATATAAAGGTAATGTTAATAATAAGATTTTAGAAGCTGAAAAATTATTTTGAACATATAAAGATATTATTAATATTATTGCTAAGCAAGACATTAAAGTAGAGTTAAAAGATTATGTGTTCGAAGTATTAAGGGAACGTATTGAGTGCATATATGATAAAATATTGACATATAAATTTAATTATCAGGGTAGCACAATGGATAAATTCGATATTAAAACGGCAACCTCTTTGATCCCCGTAATGGATAATACGGAGGAAATTACTGAAAATATTATTAACGGAATTGAGATGTACAATGAATATCTTGTAGATGTTACTCAGAAAAAATTACTCATCTCTTTTGTTTTAAAAACCAGGTTATCTAAGTCTGCTAAATTAAAGCTAAAGAGCGAATATGATGACGTGACGAGTTTAATACAAGACATTAGAAAGTTTTTACTAACAAAAAAATCTGCAAATTCGATACTAACACAATTAAATAATTTATCGCAAAATAACATGTCCATTCACGAATTCGGTGATAAATTGTCTGAGTTATTTGTAGGCCTCACTATTGCACAAAGCGACGGAAATCCGAAGTCTTGTGAGATATTGAGACCTATAAATGAAAAACTTGCAGTTAAAAGGTTTGCAGACGGATTACGCAATAGGAAACTGAGCACAATTATATCGGCACGAGACTACTCAAGCCTGAAGGACGCAGTACGTGCTGCTGAGGATGAGGAGCTGGGACAGCCTTCGTTGTCCAACAACATCTTCAACGCACAAAGGAGAGGTAACCAATTCCCATATTATAGGTCTTCACTAAGAGGTAGAGGTGGACAAATGACTTCTAGAGGTAATTTTTATTCAAATCGCGAATTCCGTCCTCAATTGCAACAGACGACGCTACGAAATTACAACAACTTCAACAATTATATGAAAGGTAAATACGTAAAAAATAATTATAATCGAGGATATAATAATACTCGATCGACGCGAGGTTATCGTGGTAATTTTGTGAGTTCGAGTCGTGTTCGAGGTAACACTAGTAGTGGTAATCACAATCAGCGAAATATTTGTACCGCACATGTCGAAACTACAAATGAGGATAAAACTACCGAACGGAATCAGTTTTTTTCGGTCCTAAAAATTATATTTTAACTTGCGACGATAATGTAAAATATGTGTATTTAAATTTAGATAATCAAAAATGTTCATGGTTGCTAGACACAGGTGCTTCATTATCGGCAATTCGTAGTAACATCTTATCGGAACGTATACCGATACATAGAGACCCTATAGTTATAAACGGTATAGGTGGCAGGACATATTCAGATGGCTATGTTTATTTAACTCTACAGGCATCAGACGGTACTACTTATGAGCACAAGTTTTACTTGTTTAAGAACTTACCTTGTAAGTCAGATGGTATAATTGGTTTAGATTTTCTGAATAATTTTAATTCAATTATCAATTTAGAAAAAAATATATTAACTTTAACCAATGAAAAACAAAGTGAGATACCATTATATACTTCACCTAAACTATGTACTAAACATATTGCGATACCGGCACGGTGTGAAACTATTCATTATATAAAGTTAAATTCAGATGTGAAAGAAGACAGTGTGATTGTACAGAAAGAATTACAAGAAAACTTATTTTTGGCTGGTTTGATAGTAAAACCTAAAAATAACATAATACCTATCAGATTAATGAATATCAGTGATAAGGAAATAATTATTCCAATTTTTCAACCCGAGTTATTACCATTAAGAGAGTATAATGTTTGTTTCTTTGATAAGTGTAATTCGAACTCTACACGTGCAAAAACTTTATTACAATCTTTGAAACTTGATCACTTAGGTACAAGCGAACGAAGCAATATAGCGAAAGTATTTGTTCAAAGTATGCTGACATATTTCATTTACCCGGTGATAAGCTAACTACTAATAATTTATGTGAACAATCAATTAATTTGAAACAAAATATAAATCCAGTTTATGTAAAGCCATATAGGTTACCACATAGTTTAAAAACAGAAGTAGACAAACAAATCAAACAAATGTTAGATGACGACATCATAGAACCTTCACAAAGTGAATGGTCCAGTCCTATATTATTAGTACCTAAAAAATCAGATGATAAAGATAACAAAAAGTGGAGATTAGTTATAGATTACCGAAAGTTAAATGAAGTTATACAGGATGATAAATTCCCATTACCAAATATTACCGAAATACTAGATTCACTATCAGGCGCAATTTATTATTCTCATTTAGACCTTAGCCAATCATATTATCAATGTTCTTTAAAGCCTGAATCCAGACCAATTACATCTTTCACAACTAGTACAGGTCAATATCAAATGAAACGTCTACCTATGGGACTAAAAATCAGTCCTAGTGCTTTCTCTAGAGTGATGTCAGTAGCCATGTCAGGCCTTAACTACATAAAATGTTTTATTTATTTAGACGATTGTATTGTTTTTGGACGAAACCTTGAATTACATAATAAAAATTTAATAGAAATATTCGAACGTTTACGTAAAGTCAATCTTAAATTGAATCCGAATAAATGTCAATTCTTAAAAACAGAACTATTATATTTGGGTCATACGATATCTTCTGAAGGAATTCAACCAGACTCAGAGAAAATCAAAGTTATTCAAAATTATCCAACACCGACAAACGTTGATGAGGTCAGACGTTTTGTCGCGATGTGTAACTACTATAGAAAGTTTATTAAAAATTTTGCTGATATAACTAATTGTTTGAATAAACTTTGTAGGAAAAATGTCAGATACGAATGGACTGAAGAATGCGAAAATTCATTTAAATTTTTGAAAAACGCTTTAACGACTCCACCCATTCTACAATACCCCGATTTTTCAAAAGAATTTATACTACAAACCGATGCTTCGGGAACAGCAATAGGTGCAGTGCTTTGTCATAGTAACATGAGGGCTATAGCCTATACTAGTAGACCTTTAAATAAAGCAGAATTAAACTATCCAACAATACAGAAGGAACTACTTGCCATAGTTTGGAGCGTTAAATATTTCAGACCATATCTATATGGACGTACCTTTACAATAATGACAGATCATAAACCTTTAATATACTTGTTTGGAATGAAAGATCCGTCAAGTAGACTTTTAAAATTCCGATTAGCACTAGAAGAATATGATTTTAAAATAGTATACGTGAAAGGGAAAGAAAATGTGATAGCAGATGCTTTATCGCGAATAAGCATAACGTCCCAAGAGTTAAAGGTAATGAATGAAAGATTAATGGCAGTAACAACGAGAGCGCAAGCTAGGAGAATGAGAGAGGCTGAAAGAGAGAATGAAAGAAAGAATGAAAGTGGAAATAAGGTGATAGACGATATCCCAAGTATTGACCAGAACGATTGGCCTGATCAACCAAAAGTAGTGGAAATACTTAGGATACCGAATAGAGCAGTTGAATTAAGTTTACTGGAAGGAGAAGAATTGAAAAAAATGAAAGAGAAAAAAATGATTGATGTTGAATCTGAATGTTTCGCATTTCGAAAAAATAAAAATATATTATATGTTAATCTCGATTTTAAAGCACATTATACGCGAGACGTTTTTGTGGAAAAATTGAGACAAATATGTGAAAAATTAAAAATTAAAGAAATATGTATCATAAAAAGAGAAGATAACACATTGTTTATCAAGAATCTTGTAGAAGAAATAAAAAAAATAAACAAGTGGTCCGGACCACGCATTTGTATTTTGAGAGGTATAAAAAGAATAGATAGTAACGAAGAAAAGGAATTTATTATGAATGACTATCATTGGCTTCCCACAAGCGGACACGCTGGGATTCGCAGAATGATAAATAACATAAAACGTAGATTCTACTGGCCAGGAATCGAAAATGATGTTAAGAGTTATGTTCGAAAATGTGAAAAATGTCAAAAGATGAAGTATTCTAGATATATTAAGGAACCTATGGTTATAACGACTACAGCAAGTTCTGCTTTAGAAAAAGTTTTTCTAGATATAGTCGGTCCGTTAGATAGAGACTTAGAAGATAATAAATATATATTAAGTATACAATGCGAGTTAAGTAAGTTTGTAGAGGCATATCCTCTTAAAAATAAGGAAACGGTAAGTATAGCTAAGAGTTTTGTGAATAATTTCATTTTAAGGTTTGGAATTCCAAAGGTCATCGCTACAGATCGTGGAACTGAATTTATGTCTGCTACAATGGAAGAGGTATGTAAATTACTTAACATAGAAAAATTAAGTTCTACAGCATATCATCATCAAAGTATTGGTTCACTTGAAAATGCACATAAACATCTAGGTTCATTTTTGCGCATACAGTGCGATAGCCATCCAGACACTTGGAGCCAATGGCTACCATTTTGGTGTTTTACATACAACAATACAGTTCATTCAAGTACGAAATATGCACCATACGAGTTAGTTTTCGGAAAACCTTGTGAAATGCCTAGTAGAATTTCTGCTGACATAGAACCATTGTATAATCCAGATAATTATAGTTTAGAATTAAAATATAGATTACAGGTAGCTAGCAGAGATGCAAGAGAAAACTTGTTAAAATGTAAAGAGAAAAGGAAACAAAAATATGATAAAAATGTAAATCAAATAAAATATAAACCAAATGATATGTTACTAGTAAAAAATGAGACAGGAAGTAAACTAGATACTTTGTATAATGGCCCGTATGTAGTTATTGAAGAGCAAGAACCTAATGTAAAAATTTTGAGAAATGGTAAAATTGAAATTATTCATAAAAATAGAACAAAGCCCTTTGTAAAAGATAAATAATATGTTTATATTCATAATTCACTTAATATTAAGAAAATCTATTAGAATATTGTTAAGTTTAATAAGCAGTTTTTTTTTTTTTTTTAAAACAGTAGCAGTATCTTTGTAGTTAGTACATAAGCATTAGATTGTAACTAAAAAAAAAAAAAAAAAACATTTTTTTTTTCTCTTTTACCCCGGTGGTGTAGTGGGATTAAGTATAGCATAGTATAAATATTAAGGACAGTATTGTGACGGAAGAGTAGAATAAAGAACCTTATCGGGAGCGGTTGTGTTTCATTACATCATCCCCGCTCCCCGCATCATTGCAACCCTTTACAACGTCAAAAACTGACAAACACACAAAATTTTCCTGTTCATAATATTGTATTGTATATATGTATGTATTCAGCCCTTTTTAACGTCCCACTGCTGGGCACGGGCCTCCTCAGTACGAGGGGGATCAGGCCATAGTCCACCACGCTGGCCAAGTGCGGGTTGGTGGACTTCACATGTCTTTCGAAAACTTGCTAGGTTTTCTCAGACATGCAGGTTTCCTCACGATGTTTTCCTTCACCGTAAGGCATTATAAATGATTCGCACATGAAATTATCAGAGGTGCGAGAACCGGGATTTGAACCCGCTTCACTCGGTTTCCCAAGCGAGCGCGTTACCACTGGGCTACCCCTGCCTTCAATCCAATAATAATCAAATCCTTCAATCCAAATAATATTAGTATACATAAATGATAACGTTCTCCCTATATTAGTACCTACACGTAATACGATACTTCCAAATTGAGTTTTTTCTTAAATTAGTTAAATTAGTGCAAATTTTGTCGTGATTAGTAAAATATATTCGGTATTGTCTACTCTTTTCGAAGTTGCTAACACGATGGGATTGCGTGACGCTAACTACAATCAACGTAGATCAGCGCACGTGAATGATTGGTCTAAGTTGTATAATTAGAATACTTAGCTACTTGTAATTAGTACACACGGCATAGTGTTAACCAAACACTAGGAAATAAAGGTAGGTCACCGTGACATACAAATTATTTTCGTTGACTAATGACTAATAGATTTCTAATGTCTAAGTTAACGTACAGATAACAGTGTGTATGTCTATCATACTATCATTATAATTGTAAAATATTGAAGAACTGTTGTAAAAGTAATAATAATTATTATTATATAATAATTTAGGCCATGCTAGTTAGTTGGACTAAAATGCTGCGCAGGAGATATTATAGTGCACGAGTGTGTACCCTAATAAAAACGTCACGAGTGACAAGATAACAGATGTAGGATTGACGCCCATACTTGCCCATACGTGTACGTGTAGACACAAGGTATTAACACTGCCAAATCCAAGCAGGCTATTGAAATTTCTTAATGGAAAATCCCAATAAATAAAATAATTCACTCCACCCCAGAAATCGAACCCAGGATCACCGGATCGACAGTACTACATGCTAGTCACTATTATGTGCTCTGACGTAAAATGCTTAAAATCCTAACAAAAACACGCCATGTCCTACAATTTAAGCCGCCTACAAACGCACAAGTGTATGCAAAACAACTAGCTAATTGTACCTGCTGTAGTGCTGAGAACGCCTTTTGAACTGAGTCCCGATTTTACTGCCTCGTAAAATATTAGAATTCAAGGCAAGAGATTTACGTTCCGATCGGATTTTTTCCAACTTGCCATTTTTATTGCTTTGCTTTAGGCACGTTTTTGTCATGATTTTATTCTTTTATTCGACTCCATTGATTTTGTTTTCAGAGCTATCGAAGAATTGAAAAGAAAAACCCACTTTTCATAACCAGTATTACACTTGACTGCGTATTTGAATATTGCTAAATCCGATATAATAATAAAAATGCTCTATATCTTTAAAATAGATTATTATCGATGGTATTTGAGTTGAGCGATATAAAGAGAAAAGTTTATACTAACATATTATACAGCAGTGTGACAAAACTCTTGAGTCTATTACAGTAATGATGATTCTTCATAGAATCATAATAAGATTTAATGATGAATTATTAGTAAAATTACTTGCTTTTTATACTAACACTAGCGACTCACCCTTGCTTCGTTCGGGTTTGTCCCTAATTACGTTATAACGTTTTGTGAAAGATTCGGCCTCTGTATCGATAATAATGTCTATTTCAATAAGATTTTCCAAAAAATATTCAATGTACAGATTCGACTCTGTTAGAGTTGTATTTATATATGTATGTAAGGGTAGATGTATATGTATAGAAGATATAACTTGATCGTTACACCTACATACAATTCATAAAGATTTTTTGCCTTCTTTAAAGTAAAATGTATAATATTATAAATTTATACGATTGACGTTAAAAATTCAATAATTCTATATTAAAAACTCTTTCGGTAAATTTGTCGTTTAGGCAAAATATAAGCACTGAGACGATGTAGACTAAAGTCTACGAGTATATCACTATAAAGCCGTTTTCGTCAAACGAACATTTACAAAAATGTATAATGAAAAGTTAGACGCCTGTCCGTCTGTAGTATCGTAGTTCCCAAAAAGATATATCAATTCGGGCGAGGTTATTTTTGTTTAAAAGCTAGTCCAATCGAAAAAGCTCTAAGCTATACTTGATAGACATTCTTTCAGTCGTTCAAAATTTGTGAAAGTAAAATATATTTTTATTTTGTAAAATATATTTTTATTTTACTTATACATCGGCTTGTAAGAATATGATAGCCTAAACCCGATTCAAGAATGTTCAAAGAATATTCAAATCAGATTCAAGAATAGTCTGAAGATTACGCAACTCCTTGAAATACTTAAAAGTTTTGGGGCTAATTTAATCGATACGAAATTAAAACAACTATAAATTAATCGCAATGTCATAAAGAGTAAAAAAAAATTCGTATTATGGTTCATCCTTAAAATATGTGTATGGGATACAACTAAGCCTTGAACTATATTAAAATAAAAACTTTTTAACAAAAAAATAAAAACCGACTTCAAACAAAAGCACTAAAAAGCAAAAAATAACTGAATGGTAGTTTTCATTTACTATACATACCTAATCAAATATTTTCGAAGTCGGTGTGCTTTGCTTTGTATGGGCTGGCACCGATTTCGAATATATTTGATTAGGTATGTATTTAATAGGTAGGCTTTAATTACTTAGCCAAAGCACACCGACTTCGAAAATATTTGATTAGGTATGTATAGTAAATGAAAACTACCATTCAGTTATTTTTTGCTTTTTAGTGCTTTTGTTTGAAGTCGGTTTTTATTTTTTTGTTAAAAAGTTTTTATTTTTCCCTTTTTAATGTAGACAGTAGTAGCAAAGTAAGGATTCTAACGTGTTAAAACGTGGCTTGTCAAATCAAACAAAATAAGCCCAAACTCAAAGTATCTACTATTAGCCGTTGAAGAGTTCCACCTATCCACCTTCTGGCCTTGCCATCAGATCAGGTCAACAACACCGAACCACTGTACTATCAACGGAAATAGAAATACTTGCAAAGTTTCAAGTCAATATGACAATTAGAAGTACGTTAAATTCATCATTAGTTGTTTTTCCACCCTTAGGGGTGGTATTTTTTTTTGAAATTTAAATGGGACCAATCTGGAAGTACACCCTTTCAAACAAAACAAAAATTGTCCAAATCGGTTAATAAATGACGGAGTTCTGAGGTAACAAACATAAAAAAAAAACAAAAAAAAACATACAGTCGAATTGAGAACCTCCTCCTTTTTGAAGTCGGTTGAAAATAGATAGAATTTATTTTTTAATATAGTTATAACCAATCTAACAGACATTTAAATAAACTTAAAGACTTTGAACATTAATCAGTTATTTTATAGATAAACCGTTCAGCCTAACTTTTGATCTTTTTCTCAAACAAACAATTGAATCGTGAAAAAAAACAACTATATTAAAACCTCAAAACGAACATAATCGAGTCAAAAGAGGAAAACGGCCAAGCAAATTCAATTTAACGCTTGAACCAGCATCTATACGATCTATTAAGGGGTAAGTGAAGAAAAACGTCTACAACAGATGTTAATTAATCGTATAAATCTATGGTGACCATGGTTCGGTAACAATGGAATACCGAACCAATTAAATCAATCGACGACTAATTTTTAGGGTATCGTACCCGAGGGTCGCGTTGAAACGTTTTTAATAAGCATTGCTGTCTGTACGTACATCCCGTCCGTAACTCAAAATCTCCTGTGCATTTAGTTATATAATAAGCGAGAATTTCATTGATGTTCAACTCGCATTTGACTGAATTATATAATTGTTATAGTTCAGTTGATGTAAAAGTCAGAGAAAACCATTACTAAGACGTTAGGCTGAGAAAATACCATAAAGTACCATTATAAGCCATGGTATCTATATGTAAATAGGCAAAGATAAAACAATTCAGTACCTTGTTCTCCTCTGTTTGCCAAGCGATTTTTTATGTAGTAGCTATTGACGAGCTTAGTGTTGTCAATAAAAAAATTGGCACAGATTTCTTATTATAAGGGTAAATTCTATTCATATTGTTTTTCTAGTTTAATTTAAATTCATATAGTTGAACTAGCATTGCCGCGAAGACAGACAGACAGAGACAGACAGACAGACAGACAGACAGACAAAAATCCTGAAAACTATAGATTCGACCTCTGCAACGAAAATAATGTTTATTTCAATAAGATTTTCCAAAATAATATTTAATGTACAGATTCGGCTTAGTTACAATTTTATTATATGTACAGATTTTGACAGTTCAGCGAACACTACTGCCTACTCATAAATAGCGTAGTGTTTTGCGTACTCGACTATTGAGTTGGCTGTTATTTGATCGGTTTGAGCTAATAATGTTATAATAAATTAAATTAATCAATAAATTAATTATACTAATTAATAGGAAATGCATAAATTTTGTTTGTATTAAATACTTTAACAGTTTCCGTATATACATATATAAATTGTATGTAATTAGTGAATTAGGCTCGGCTAAGCACAAGGTTTATTTAGCTCACAATCATTAAAAAATGATTTTGTGCAATGTAAATAATTTTACTGGTAAGTAAATTTATTAATTTAAATAATAATATGATGAGCTGCTAGTCCATACTTAATATTATAAATGTGAAAGTGTGTTTGTTTTTTGTTTGTCCTTCATTCACATCGAAACGGAGTGACGGATTGATGTATTTTTTTTTTTTAATTTGTTTTATTTTCAATTTGTGTGGAGATAGTTAGAGGGCTGGAGAGTGACATAGGCTACTTTTTACCGAGGGAGATCATTTAATTCCCACGGGAAAGCACGTTACAATACAATAAAAAAAATTATGATCAGAATTACTTGAAACTTAGTATTAATGCTCTTCAATAAAATTAAATAAATATGTGTCTTAGCATTTTTCGAAATTCATTCTATAAGGGGGTAAAATTGGGGATGAAAGTATGTATGAAAGTACTTTTTAAAGGTTTTTTTTAGTCTTAGCGCGAGCGAAGCCGCGGGTTCTTCTAGTAATATATAAATAATTTATGTATCGATTGATCTATTTATGATAACATATCCACTTTTTATAATAAAATAGGTATATTATTAAAAAATATTCACTAAACACTCTAAAACTGTTTTTTTTTACTGACTTCAAATACAAGCCTCAAAACGGCTGTTTGTTTATATATATGTATATATGTATATTTACATATATATATATATATATATATATATATATATATATATATATATATATATATATATGATAGTGTTTGTCTAATGACCGAAATTCGACTGTAAATAATTATTACTGAAAATTTGAGGAAAATATATATGAATGGAAGTTATCTATCTGTTTAAAAAATATTGGAAGTATGCCACAAACTCCCAGTATACAAGGAGATAGGTCTAATGCGGTGGCGCTAAATCAGGCATACCTTGCGAAGAGAGGAAGAGAATACTGTACAAGTAGCATTCCATTGGCGGCCTGTCGATAGAAGAAGACCTGATCGACCAACTAACACCTGGAGAAGGTTCATTAAGGCGGATCTTACAAGGGTGGGAATCTCATGGAACCATGTCCAAGTAGTAGCTAAAGATAGAAGGGCATGGAAAATTACTGCTGCAGCCCTAAGTTCCACGAGGGAATAGTAGGACAACATCATCATCATCATCATCATAAAAAAAAACTATTTCCAATTTTTTTTATTTATAACA